GTTTTACAGATGTTTGCTGTAGTTTTATTTTTCTAATTATAAACATTGAGTAAAAAAACCATGGTGTTATTTTTTAGAGTTCAAAGTTCATTGTTGGCCTTTGTAACTTTGTAATCTCACCTTGAGGTCCATTTAGTGGCTGTGTTGGAGCTTTCAACCACAGCACAGCTTGCTTAGTCTCAGCATTTGTAGGACTTCTTGTCCATGTTGGCTTACAAGTTGAGTTTCCCATGTGTAAAAATCCTTGCTGTTATTTTGAAGTTTGAAGGTTAATTATAGATCTTAGAAACGGCCATTGACTCAACAATCTTACCTCAAGGTGTGTTTAGTAGCTGTCCTGGGTTTCACATGATCTTCATTGACAGATGAAGTTTGCCCAGTAAAATTTGCTGATGAAGATCATGTGATATAGTCAAAAGCTCAAGAACAACTAAATGGAACTTGATGTGTTTTGTCAATTGCTGTTATTTGGTGTAAAAATATACACAGAGATACTGGACCAAAATGGAATGCTATTTTTTAAATACTTTGCAATATTATTGATTTTATGTATATATTTTAAATCAGGGGTCTTCAACGTTTTTCAGGCCAAGCACCCCCAAACTGATAGAGAGATGGAGCAGGGACCCCCGACTATATACAGTATATTGTATAAAATTGTGTTTTATATTAAACTGGGCCTAGTGCCATGAATACCTCTTTATTGTGCATTCAATACTAAGCTATTCAAATAATACACAGGTTCATATATTCATGTTTTTATTTTAAACATGTGCAAGGTACAGTGAGTAGGGAGGCCATGCCACTGCCATTTATAAACATACCTTGTCAACTGATACCAATGTCAACATTGTCTGTCAATTGCATGATAATCATGCATACAAGCTATTCAAATTGCCATTTTTATTTTAAACATAAATGTGGAAACGAAAATAAGTGATGGCCTATTAGTGCCACTGCCATGCATAAACATACCTGTTATCTTGCATACAATACTGAACTATTAAAATAATGGACACATTCATGTTTGAGAATTTATTTTTTATTTTTTTAATTGTCTAATCAACCAAAAATTTGGACCCCCTGTTGAAGACCTCTGTTTTAAATGATGATTGCTCTTGGACGCAAATGGTGAACCATAAAGGTGCTAAATTCGATATTCAGAGCATTGATATGGAATTAAACAACTATTATCTGTGTAAAGATATAGTGGAGTAAGGTCTATCTGAGCAGAGAATGAAGTCACTCTCCATCTGTGTGTGTTGTAATCTGACCTTCTCTGTGCTTTGTTGACATAGCTGGGCCGGCTGCATGTGATTTTAGTGCATGTTAGTGCATGTGAGCGTGCCCCATGGCCGTGGCTAGCTAATGGCCAGTTATAGCTGATAATGGCGACCCGACCGACGCCGTATTTGGGGAGGCTCAGCACCCACCCTCCAGTTCCTCCTCAGGTAAACACTGTTAGCTCTATCAGCACTGTTAGGACCGTTAGCTGTACGACGCAAGCACACGTGTCGCCATGTTGACAGCCTTGTAGTGGCAATCCCTCAATCATATAGATATCCTCTGAATTTCCAATTTAGCACCTTTAAGTGCGATATAGTACGATTCCATAACATGACAGCATAGTAATGACACACCGATGAGTACTGAACACCAAATACTGAGACAAAATGAAAAAAACAGCAGTGACATACACTTACGTTCTGATTTACAGTTCAGTGATCGAGGCACCCCATGAACCTGAACACAAAACAAACAGCAGTAACTTTGACCTCTGTGCTGCTGTAGCAGCTTCTATCTGTCACTGCTGGATTGGGTTTCGGTTTTTGGCACCAGGGAGGCTGTTTGCAGTGTGTTGGGTTTCACTGGTCACACTGCCGACCTCTCAATCTGCCCACAGGTGGTTCGGTTTACACTTACCAAACCTTTACCGTCTGAGAACCCTTAGTCACTCTGATCTGTTACACTGACTCACTTTTCTTTTTGAAGGTTCCATGTGCCATATATCACTAGTGCTGCTAATTCGCAGAGTTGAGACACATTTCCCAGAAGCCTTGATGCTTTTTGATGCCAAATGCGCAAACAAAAGAAAGAACAGCATCCTCTTCCTGTTCATCCCAAATGATTGTACAGAAAATAATCGACCGTTAATTAGTTCATCAATGATTTATTGATGGTAAAATGCTGCAGACAACAACTTAAACCTGCATTTTTAGGGTTTTTTGGCCACTTGGGGGAAGCAGAGCAAGTTGAAAAGCAAACACAGACATTGTCACCTTGAACATGTTAGCAAGTAGCTTCTTCATTACACACCCTGCAGACACATTATCATTCGTATGGAGTCATGTTTCTGCTCAGCTCCGGAGGGAAATATCTGTCTCTTTAGCTGCTAAAAGCTCCACTATGTTCACCAGCTAGTTGCTAACTGTATATGTCTGCTGTTTGATGGCGGGGCAGGTAGTGTACAATGGGTTTATCAGGACTTTTAGCTGAAAACGTGAGCGTTGAGGCAGAATCAAAAAGGGCAGATTATAAAAAATATGGATAAGTGCAGCTTTAAAGGCCCTCCACCATCCAGGGCTCACAACTCTCAGCTAGGGTCTCTTTTGCCCCTGTAGTTGGTAGCTGTCCATGCATTTGAGGCCATGGCTCTCACAGACCCGAACTCTCAAATGAATATTTTTGACTAATTTCATCTCACCACTTTAAATTACTTATATAATTAAAAAGTTGTTACACCAAATCAGTCACAGAAAAGGGACAGCTGTTAGCATTGTGTGTAGATGGATTTGAAGATAGTGTACCAGAGCAGGAACTAGCTGCAGCCCTCCCATGTTGCCTGTAGGGGGCAGTGTGTACCTGCTGACACACACACAAAGGCAGCCTGTTCTTCAGTGGTCCTGAAAGATTTGGTTCATGACAGGGACACAAAATGCAAATAAAGCTGAACAGTACAGAATCTGCTTCAACACATTATTTTACAAAAAGAGAGAACGGAATCAAACCAGTTTGTTGACAGTTTGTATGTTTCAAATATCACAATGTCGAAATTATACAGTCTTCACTTAGGAAAAACAGAAAAATGTCCTATATTTTGTAGAGCTTCAGGTTCTAATGAACAGTTGAGGATTAAGGTTTAACTACAGACAGTTGGTGTAATCAGCACATAACAGTTTTGTTGGAAATAGATGAAAGTATGGAACCCACACCACGGCAATATGAGAATATGATTAATGATAGTAAATAGCAGCCTGAACTGACACTATGACACCAACACCTTGTGTTGTTAGAAATAATGTAACTGTGTCTCCAGGCATATGTGTGTGAAATGCAAATGTTGGATGCACAAAAAGAAAAGCTTGGTCGGCTCTGACTCGGCCCCACACCCACTGCAGGCTTGTTTCTTCTGAAAAATGGAAACACTGGACTTGAGATATATATACAAGTCAAATATACAGCTATACTTGTTCAGCCTCTTATATAATTAATTAAGTATAGCTTACCTTTTTTGTTAACAGTTACCTATATTAACTCTCCTTTTAGCTCTGTTTTGGTCTCCACCAACTCCAGAGGGAAATATCTGGCTCTCCACCTGCTATATGCTCCACTATGTTCACCAGTCAGTCACTGTGTCCGTCTGCTGTTTGGCAATTTCGGAACCAAGCGGCCATTTCTCTGACGACGATTTAGCATCTGGGGGAGCAGCCGGTGTAGACAGCCAGCACAAAGCACAAATGAAAGCCACTAACGCGTGTCAATTTCCGCCCGTTACAGGCGTACGGTGAAAATAAACTTCCGTTTTCACAGGAAAATCTTTAGGTTTAGGCAACAAAACTACTTGGTTAGGTTTAGGAAAAGATCGGCGTTTGCGTTAAACTAACCGTGGAAGTGTTGTTACTGCAGGACGCAAGTTAAGTGACATAAACATTGATGTTGACTTCTTGTTTCACATGGGGAACAAACAGCAGTCCCCTGGCTGAAAGTTCACCGTTTGATGGAATCAAACACCTCCCACCCGCCCTATGTGGGCTTCTGTGGTCTTTATACTTCCTCGTTCATGATTATGTGGATAACTAAATCATTTCCTGGGATATCTACAAATTATGCCACAATATGTTTTCGTAGGTATTGCTAAGTATGGATGAGACCAGTCTGGTTCACACTTGTGTTACAAATCAAAGTTGAGCAACTTTTTTTCAGCGCTCCAATGTCGTGGTGAAGCTTCAACCAATAACTTTATCAGCTTCAGGTCCCCTTCACTCACCCCACAATTTATTAGACAGTTTGTCTAAAAAATGAAGTTCCAACATATTCTTGCCGTTAGCAACTTGTCGCTCGTAGTGTGAACAAAGAGTCCACTGAGTGCTAGCGGTTCTGAGGCTGAACTTCAGCATAGCAAAGTGCTAAATGCTAACGGTTGCTAACATGCTTTGCAGGTACCAACAATGTTCATCGTCTTGCTTTAGCATGTTAGCATGCTAACATGTGCTATTTGGTCATAAACCAAAGTATTGGACAAGGTGAAGTTTTGACCTTATGATGTCACTGAATGAAAAGTCAGATGATCACCACAGTTATGCAACTCATCCTGTTCATTATTATTCTTCACCAAATTGCAATCAAGGATCACCAAAGTCAGTCGGATTGTTCCTCTGGAGGATATAAATAATGGTCCAGTGTAATAATGTAATCAGTCTAGACCGACCTACTGACATCTCCATCTCTAGCACAGCTACACGGCTCACATGCTTTTAACAAAAGTGTTATTTTTGTTACTATTTAGACAACATCCGATCTGAGCCAACAGGAGGTTAAGAACACATATTTTCTGAAACTTCAAAGACATTTGTTTTGCAATTACAGCTGAGCTGCTTTGCATAAACGCAAAGGCCAGGACACAAAGTGTACTGTGTCGCAGGTTTACATTATTATGTGGCGTTAATTAGAGCTGCTGTCACAAACCACTCGCAAACAAACAAAGAAGGAAAAGAGGCAGGTTATGGAGTAATGACTGCACATCAATGCAGCGCTGACTTTATTCTCAAACACATTATTAGAATCTAAAAATAAGAAAATCTTCATGGTTGTTGTTGCCCAGAGTCCTTTCATCTGCCAAAAAAAACACATTAATACAAAGAGATACAGAGCAGAGAGAGAAATGTGTCCCTCATCATCGTCATCATCATCATTAACACTAAAACAAAACTTTATTTGATTTAAAAAAAACAACATTAAAACACAGCCAACCCAGCAACAGTTATAGTTTCTTAAATAGCCTCTGTGCACAGAGAAATAGAGATGACAAAAGAGACCATGCAACCCAATCAACCACCCCGCCTTCTCATTAACACTTCACACACACACACACACACACACACACACACACACACACACACACACACACACACACACACACACACACACACACAGTTTGGATCCGAATCAATATCATCAACGGACATATGCCAGGAGGAGGAGTCATCGTCGTACAAAGGACTATTTTTGTTTCTTTCTTCCCCCCCCCCCCAAACAAAGAATTGTTTGACATTTCATTATTTCAAGGACTAAAATACAATGAATTTCTACCCTGCAGATCTGAGCCTCGCTGCGACAGAACAATGAGACTTCTTTAATCATACACAATAATTCACAGCCGGCGCCGGGTTAAAGCGGCTTCACTTCCACCTCGTTCTCTTATTTTTATTTAGCCGAGTAAAGCGGTGGGAGTTCAGTGTCATTATCACTCGTTACATCGCTCTGTGTTGGGACTTCACAGTCCATACTGCATCATATCATAGCCTCATATTCATATAATTAAAGAACAAGCGGGGAACAGTTTGTCTTGTATTTGGTTATTGACCCATAGCTGGAGTGCTGTGTTCTCTTGACTTTGGTCACAGAAGGAGTCAGCAACTATTAGGTCAAAAAAAGAAAAGTCAATTGGCTTTAAAACCGACAGCTCAAACTTTTATGTTACAGCAATTTACACATGGCTCTTCAGAGCTTTTTGGAACCGACGGTAAACACCGTCTTTACAAAATGAGGAACTAGATATGGGGTTGGGTTTTGAGGGCGGACAGAAAATGAGACAGATTATCCCTTTGTGAGGGTGGTTGGAGTATATACACCTATCATCGTGGTTCACAGCACACCACCTCTCCTCACTGGTATACACAATTTCAATTCAAAGCATAACATGTCTTATGCTGTAAACGGTCAGTAGAAAAAGACACAGCCAATAACAGATGTCAGACCAGCCGTGAGACTTTCCTCTGGTAGTTACACACAGAAATGTCCCATTATTCTACTGCTTGGACTCAAGTTTGAAGCGCTGAACTCATGTTTGGTGGTTGAGTCCTCAGTGGGTTAGGGCTGGACTAGACTGGACTAGGTTGGCCAGGGTTTTCGTGTGGAGGTGAGGCCGGAGGTTCCGTGGCAGTCGAAGGGCTTGGTTGAAGTTTTGGCGTCACTTTGTCCTGAGATTAGCTCAGATAGAGAGGTTTGTCCCTCTGCAGGCCGCCGCTGGAGGAGAGGAGAAAGTAAAAGTGAGGTTACAGGAACCAGTGGTATTTACTGGATCTGACGTCGGTCCCAGACTTCCCATATACGGGGCTGGCTGAAAGCACTGAGTGTAGCCAGAGGAGGGGTGCGAGCCTCCCTTTGCTTTTAGGCAACAGCCATTAAACTTTGTTAAAGGAACAGTATGCAGGATTCTGTTGATCTATTGTTTTTATTGGTGTATAATATTCGGAAACTAAGAGTCGTTGTGTTATCTTTAGCTTAAAATGAGCCCTTCACATCTACACAGGGTGTTGGTCCTCTTCCGCAGAGTCCGCCATGTTGCAGCGCTCTGTTTCTACAGTAGCCCAGACGGACTAACCAAACACTGGTTCTAGCGAGAGCCTTTTGTGTTTCTTATGTTAAAGGAAGGCCACGGTTTCAATCTGCAACCTCACGGCTCGATGTCACTAAATCCTTCACACTGGACCTTTTAAGTGACAAAGGTTAAAATGCAGAGGAGCGCATTAAACAAGACTCTAATAATAAAAGCTTTGTCCAACATGTAGTTTTGTTTCTTAGTATTGGTAATAATTCTGAGGAAAACACTCACTTGAAAATTTGGTATAGAAATTTAGAATATTACAAATACCAAATACGAAAAGCTGCAGTCCATGGAGCCTTCAAAGAGCAGGCTGAAAAGCAGCATTTTGCTGATTCAGCACCTACTGATGGGTGTGGTCAGAAATGTGCTGCTGTACCTGTAACCACACCCAACAGTGATGTCACAGTGTCCTGGGGTACACCTGTGCATCACTGCAGCAAGGTGTGACAGACGTCAGCAAAAACATGTTACTCTTCAGAAAGCCTCATACCCTACCCGTTGCCATGGTAATCGGTACTCCAGTCCAGAGAGGGGTGGTGGTTGGGCGTGTGTCGACCCAGCTGATGGTAGTCCACTGATGATGACATCACCGCTCCACCATTAAGCATACCTCCTCCTAATTGCTGATATTCAGACTGGAGGGAGGGGTGATAGCCCTGGAATTAACACAAAAAAATACAAGGTCAAACAGGTCAAACAGGTCAAACTGTGAGGCGACGGTTGAAGTGAGGCAAAAATGCTGTGTGAGTCGAAAAGTTCATGCTGGTATTCTAAAAACATCTGGAAGTTGGTCATTGTAGTTCGGCCTGCTGACGTGGCCCAACAACAGGGTCAGCAGGTGGAGCTCCATGAGGTTCTGTTGAGCATCGTCTCACAGAACAGTCCATCTTATTAAGAGCTACGAGGAACTGTCATTTAGTGTTGATGTTGGCGGTCCCTGTGGACTAAAGTGGTAGTGATTCTGAGCCCCAGAGTCCCTTTAGAAAACCTCTCATTTTACTGCAGCAGGGTCTGACAGTCTGCGCTTCTCAGTCCTGGTTCTGGTTCTGGTTCTCCCGTGCCTCCCTTCCCTCCAGCGGGTCCAGCAATAAGTCCTGGGTCTCCAGCAGCGTGGTGTCTGTGTTGGTTCCCAGAGAGGAGAAGCTCTGCTCCTGGAGGACGAGACGCTGCTGCCGGGAGCTGAGCTCTCCTCCTCCCTCCGGAGCTCCGGATCTGGGTCTGTCCACGGTGGACCGGTCTCTGCTGGAGGACCTGGGTCCGTCCACGGTGGACCGGTCTCTGCTGGAGGATCTGGGTCTATCCACGGTGGACCGGTCTCTGCTGGAGTCTGAGCTGAAGGAGTTTCCAATGAACCTGCATGATTTCATCTGATGTCACCAGAATCCGACCCGGTGGCACCGAAGAGAATAACTTTGTAGACACAGACAACATTCTTGCTGAAGGACTTGTTTACTGATGTTGTGCTTACTAAATATTGATTTCAGCCCCTGGAGCCGATAAAACTATTTGAGTTCAGTAAATGTCTGACGGTCAGTGTGGATCCGATGACAGAACACCTGCACACCACTAACGTCTCATATATGTGACTCGCTCACATATTTTACAAGCACATCTTTATCACTAATATCTATCACGAATAATCTGCTTAGAAATCAAAGAGAAGACAGACGCTCCTAATGACTCCAGGAGTTTTGAACTTTTCCTCACTATGAAAGTAATCCAAGGATAGTTGCGTGTGCATCCATCAGTTCACTGCCAATAGGAAGAGTTATAAACTAATACTTCTAATTAATGTAAACACAGTGTTAGACTTTGAAAACCCGTTTTAGTTCATAACCCTCATTTCAATGGAATTATGTTGACTATATTTGCAACATGTATATGGTCTTAATTTTTGGCAAAAGTGGTTAAAAAGTGAAATCCTTTCCGTCCATCCCAGTGCTCTGGAGCAGGTTTGACTGTGAGATGCCAGCGCAGTAATAGTAGGTGTGCTCATGTCCTCCTGAACCTCAAAGAATCCATTGACAGCTCAATGCTTCCTGATTAAAGATATTCTGAATGTAACTCAAGTGAAAAGGAGACAGACATCAGTCATGGGTTCATCAGCAGTAATTACAGGGGGGGGGGGGGGGGGGGGGGGGGGGGGGGGGGGAGGAAAGGGGGGGGGGGGGGGGGGGGGGGGGGGGGAGGGGA